GTTTGCAAAAAAAAAAAAAAAGCCAATTTCTTCTGTCTTATTAGGAGTCTGTGCGTTGACTCGAGGATGGTCCAAGAGAACGGGGGAACGCCAGGACTTGTCCTATCTGTGACGTTTTCTGCTTCACTGGGTGTTACAACATAATCTAAACCTCACTGCTAGACCCACATAAATACACTCACTAAATCATAGTGCATCAACACTTAAATACATCCCATAGATTCATGCAGTCTACTCTAGCTGGGCCTGAAGATATTGGCTTATAAACCTAAAAATCAGATAATGACTATGACACTTTCACAATCCTAATCTCTCATTTATTTCATTCTCTTTGGTACTCAGAGGTATCTCTCGCACAACCCCTTTCTAAAATTCATCTTCTTGGATGACTCCCATGAAAATCATCCACTCCTGCAATGGGGCAGAAAAGGGTTACTGTAAATCTGATCAACAGCTAAACCCTGGAACACAAACTGCTAACTAATTTCTGAGCAGTCCTAAACTCCCACAACGGTGACACATTATAAGGTTGGCCCTGATGAGCTTGGCAGCGCAAAACTATTCCATTACAGTTCCTTGTACACAGCTTTTCAGGTCCCCTGTTAACTCAAGACATCTGAACGCAACCCCCTGCCAAGAATATTAAGGTCAGAAAACCAGCTGGGTAAACGCTAGCAATTCAACCCGTGATACAGGAGGAAAGGAAATCTTAAACTGTATTACACAAATGAAATGGACACCTTCCTCCAAAATACAGAAATGATCACTTGATCTGGATATGACACCAATGAGCTAGAAGGGCAAGTAAATAGATGAAGTACACTGGAGGGGGGGGGAGACACCTCTGCCCAGAGGAAAGAGTAAAAGGCAGCAGATAAAAGAAATTATGACAGGTCAAATGGTCTTGCCTTCCATATTTATAGTGTTATTTCTTCCTTTATAGATACTGAAAAAATATATCTGCATTATCTTTGAATTTTTCATATCAGATATATCTGGGTGCAATATAGGATATAATCATATGACAAGAATTTCATTTCCTTGTATTTTAAAGCTACTATTCTTAGGATTTTACCGGAAAGGCGATAATTCCCCTTTTCTGCTTTGAGGAGAAAAATGTGGCAACATTTTTAATATACGTAAGACAATGGACACATTCCCCTTAACAAAGGCTCTTCTTTGCCTAGATCCAGAAGCCAAGGGATATGGGTCTAGAAATAAATCACACTCCATTCAATTTGTCTGCTTATGGCTTTAAGTAGACAAAATCAAGGAGTCTTTCCAAAGGTGTGGATGGGTGCGTGTGTGTGTGCGTGCATGTGTACGTGTGCATGTGTCCCCTTAACAAAGGCTCTTCTTTGCCTAGATCCAGAAGCCAAGGGATATGGGTCTAGAAATAAATCACACTCCATTCAATTTGTCTGCTTATGGCTTTAAGTAGACAAAACCAAGGAGGAGTGTTTCCAAGAGTGTGGGTGGGTGCGTGCGTGCACGTGTGTATGTGTGCGTGCATGTGTGTGTGTGTACACAACTATGGCCCTCTCCATCCTTTTTCTGCATTTACCTGCTAAATTTTTAATACTCACCAAACACAGCATTTCAGTATATACTTAATGTATATTAAATGTATTTGCTCTCGGAATATTTATAAATATACTTTGGTATGGTTACAGTCTAACTAAATGCCACAGAACATTAAAAGTAACACAAAATTCAGTGGGTCCCAATTGACACATTAGTTGTAGGGTTATGAAGCCCATCTATTTATACAGTACTAGAAATTTTAAAGACTTAAGTCCTTTCAAGATGCTCCTTGCAAGACCTCCCTTCCCCAGTTGACAGCTGAGAAAAGAGCAGCCAGCTGAGCAGTTTTATCAAACTCGCTTTCACTTCGGTGCTGTGCTACAGACATATCCATATTTTAAAGACTATTCCAGATTTTGAAGATTACGCTACAGGCATAAGCATACTTGAAAGATTATTCCGTTATTTCCGCTCACCGTGATTGGAGACTCTTCGTGATTTTAGTTTGCCGCTCGCCCAAAGTCTCCTCGGGATGCTTCTAAAACCAAGAACCGGGCATCGCGCTCCCTCTGCTGGTCTCCAGGGCCTTGACGGAAGGCCCCAGAGCAAAGCTATGCAACCGGGTTGCAGCTGCCGATCCAGCTGCTACATAAAAGTTCATCATGCCATTCATTGGGGGAAGACAAGACCAGAACTGACCAGTGGCTTTCCAAGAGAACGGAAGTTGAACCGCGAGGATTTCTGACCCCTAATTATTTTAACAACAGGAACAATAAAATAACTCCCACAACACCAAGAGTGGCAGAACTCTGTTTATTTCTTCTACTCAGAAAGAATTCCTGAGCTTGGCCTTCTTCAAGTTGCAGTTTTCTCCTTTGCTTCAAACTCTAGAGAGCCAATTTAAAAAAAGAAAAAAGAAATCTTAGGTGTGTGCCTTTTGCTGTTCAATGAATTGCAAAAAGGATTCCTCCCTTGTCTTTATTTGCCCTGCTAATCGTGCTGCGTCTACTCATTACCAATGGATGCTCGTTCGGAGTGGGTCATGCCCGGGACAGATTGCACTTTCTACACAACTGATTCATTCTGTTTTCATTTGTCAGCTCCCGCCTAGACAATGTCACACCCACAGCTATCTTTCGCATTGCTTGCCATTGTGGCTAATAGACTCCCTTATCGCCATGCCCAGGTATTAAACACCTCAGACAAGCTCTGAGCCACAAAACCTTGAGCAGATCACCATACACACATCTACTTAGAAACAAGTCCCGGCCAGTTCGATGGAATTTCTTTCCAGGCAAGTGGGTTAGTGAACTGCCATCTCCGCCTTGAAAGAGCTATGAGGATTCTTTGTAAATAAAATGAAGATAGCTTTATTCTATTAAATAAAGTATTTATTAAATAAATACTAAATCAAGATCGCTGCAGTGGTCCATGGGAACAAAACGAAGCAAAGCCAACCACCATCATTCTGTGTGGTCATTCTACAAAATTCAGAAACATTATTAGATCACTACAAGCTCTTTGTCAGGATGGACATGCCAGCATTTCTGGGGTGGGGATGAAAGAGGAAAGTCTCAAATGCACCCCAGCAAGACCTTTAGGTCCAGTTCTTGTTATTTAAAGTGAAGGAGTTCCAGAAATGGAACATACAACCTTGGAGAATCAGCTGAGTTCTCCAGTTTCACTCAGGCGGGGAAGAGTATAGATTTCACTCCCAGCCTCCACCTCTCCAACAGGTTACCATTTACTTATGATCTCTGCCATCACCTTACACCGACCCCAGACAGCTTTTGTTTCACTGAGAACCCAGGTACGCAGAAACGTGGCAATCCCCAATGTCTAAAAAGGTGACCATTAAATGTAGCTTCTGCACTAGGTCAAAGAGACCCAAATTTCAACAATGGCCTAGAAGTGTGCAATAACTTTATTAGGATTGATAAAAATCCCCCCAAAAACGTGTGAATTTGTGAATTCTCCAGAATTCTTACTCAAGCTGAAGAGCATTAAAAAATGGGAAGGAAAAAAAAAGTTTAAGAAATTTGGCCAGATAAAGATGTCTTCTTGTTTTCAGTTACAGTGATCAGAATTAAAAAGAGAAAGCACTGCAAAGTTCATTCTTACTGATTTATACCTATTGCACCTTTTTTTCCACATGCAATGGCAATTAAAATATTTTTAAATATTACAGATCCACTATCAAGCTTTGTATAGAAGAATCATATTTTCTCGCACTGCTAATGTATGTTTAATTAGACTACACTTAATTTTCATAATTAACTGAACTGTGCACACAGACTAGCTAGCACCGTCAGCCCCTACATGAATGAACATCAGGATTGTACATAGAAAGACAGACTGCCTGAAAAAGCGCTCTGCCATGTCTGGTAATCAAAAACCGGAAAAATTAGAGTAACAGCTTTAGAAGTTCCTTCGTCAATATATCTGGGATGTGCTTAAACAGTCCTGGAAGAATAATTGAGAGTTTGCCATTTCTGAATTAGTTATGGACTAATTCCTGATTACCTAATGAAAGTCATAAATGGCCCATTTGTGAACATGAGCTGTGATGCTTGTAGCTCTCTTTATCTACTCATGAACAAGTGTCTGGACCTTAACTGGAAGAAGCAAGCACAGAGAAGTCTGGGAGGTTGATTTGCAGCTGTGAAGTGAATTGCAGCAGAAGACAGTTTAAGTATCGGTGCATGCACATATAAGCAAAGCCATTTCTCTGCTATAAATCACCACAAGCAGAATGGCCTTGTGCCTTGAAGAGAACCAAATGCCACAGTGCAACTTTACAAGAAGAGAACGCAAATTAATGCACACCTTCAGTCTAGTTATTTTTACTTCTACAGAAAGTTCAGACTTGTTTTTATCTAGAACCCATGCATTTGCCTTTTGGGAAGTCCACCATTTCCATTAAGGTCTCTTCCAACTCCGTATTTACAATGAGTTCGTGGAGGGGGGGTTGCCTTTCAAATGCATACACAGCAATCAGAAATACTATTAGTAAACCTGATCTTTGACTGGGTCTCTAGCGACCCAGCTGGCTAGATAGCTCAGTGAGTTGGATTTCAATTCCACACTGGACCTCCCAAGAGGAGAGCCAGCCTGAGTAGCCTTGGGCAAGCAACACAGTCCCAGGGCACCCCCAGAAAAAGGGAATGCAAAACCACTTTGGATTACTCTATACCGAGAAAACTCTGGAAAGGGTTGCTAGAAACTGGAATCACCCTGAAGGCATGTCATTATTACCAAAATTTTCAGAAGTGTATGGACAAATTTTGCTTATATGCTCCAGAGAATATTAATTGGACTTTTTACCACCATGACTACCTTAGCTAAAACCAATAAAAGAGAATACAGACCACACCGGGAAGGTACACCAGACACATTTACAAGAGAAAACGAACCCCTCCAAGCAACATCAAAGCACAAGGACCCACTTTAGAAAGAGAACTATCATGAACCATTACCTCACAGTTGAACTCCATCTCGGCATCCATGGTAATGATCCGCACCGTGAAGGTTTTGGGCTGTTTTCTCTTTAAAGAGCTGAAGCTCATGCGAGATGCAATGGCACCAGCCATGGCAAAAGAAAGCCCTGGGCTCTTTACCACTAACTCAACTTTCACTGGCACGCTTTGATGCTCCTTCTCCAGGAGAAAGCCCCCAACACGCAGCTAAACTCACTGAAAATAGGGAACCTTTACTCACAAGTCAGATGCAACAAGGTGGTGAGGGGGGGTCAAACCTGAAAGCACTATTTAGCCCATTTGGGGATTTCCTGGAGGGAAAAGGCTACAGGTCAAAAGCATGCCTCCAAACTTTTATCTACCTATCTCTCAATTTTTATTTTGTCTTTAGTGAGGGGGAGGGGGAAGCCTGAAAAGGGGAAATGCAAAATTAAAGAGAGTAATGAGGGCACGCCTCCAGGTTGTGCTCCTTGGCTAGATAAATTATTATCCAAAGATCTTTTAGGAGACAAAAAAAACCTTCCAGTGTGAAGCTCAGGAGTCTTAATAAAGAAAAAGCTGGGGGGACCTGAAAAACTGAAGAAATAAGGTAATGATGGTGAGCAATTAACAACTTGAAAAAGAGATAATGGTTTTGATTAGAGGGGAAAGAGGGAGAGTTTTATTCAAGATTCCCAGTTTTATTTGGGGAAAGGATACTAAACAGCCCTCACATTTAGATGGAAACCTTCTGGGGACGGGATAGTGATGTTGTATTTATCTAAAGATTATCTGACTGGCTCTAAAAACAATTGCAGTGTTATTGGTGTTATATTGGAGTAAGGAATCAGCTCCTGAAAATAATAATATTGTATATTGCTCGGAGGCAGCTGCCCATTGAAACAAGAAGGGGCAAGAAGAAACAGTTACGCCTGGAGTAGATAGCAGGGGAAAATATGCACAAAATGGCTGTAATAATGAGGCAATAATTGGAGTAGATGGGGGGGGGGAAATATGCACAAAATGGCTATAACAATGAGGCAATAATAATTGCGATAATAATACAAAAAGGGCAATTAAGAACAGGCATAAGCCAGAAATTCGATTTAAGGAAATGGCCCGGGGGGGGTTTGAGAGAAAATTAGGGAGGGGCAGAATTTAGGAGTGGGGAGAGGAGTGTATTTA